ATGGAATTGGAGAGTTGCAGCAAGGAAAAAAGGTCCCAGATCAGGACTTGCCAGGCTTGCCTTGGAAAAACTAATGGTAGGATTTTCACTCATGGGAAAAGAGCATGGAATTGGAGAGTTGCAGCAAGGAAAAAAGGTCCCAGATCAGGACTTGCCAGGCTTGCCTTGGAAAAACTAATGGTAGGATTTTCACTCATGGGAAAAGAGTGAGAGAAAAAAAGGTCAACACTCTTGTTCTCAATATTGAATGTATCCAACCAGGTGCTCCAACTACTCCCCACAAGCCCTCTTCTATTCCTTCACCAGTTTTCCTTTCTAGGTGACACTCAGAGCCCAGCTATGGGAACCCACAGCATGACCTAGCTGGGGCCAGCTCACATGACTGCTATGGTTGAAGAAAACACAAGACATTGCAGCACCTGAAAACACACCCCAGATCACAGGCATTGCTTTCCCATCTCCAGCATGAAAGCCGTGATATATACACAGGTTTGGAATGTTGGAAATGTGACATGGAGGGAAAGAATGGGATGGAATGGGACACCTGTCATCCCCACAAGAGCTGCAAACCCAGATGAGCCTGACATGCCTACGAGAGAATGAGCACCCTCTCCACAAGACACCCACAAACCGCAGCACACCACAGCCACGGCTTGACTTCCCTCTTCACATCCCACTCTCCAAAGCCTTGGTCACGTCCACAGCCCTCCAAAAAAACATCATCATCAACAGGCTTTGCTCATGAACAATTGCATTTAAAAGGGGTCAACAAGGTCAGATGGACACGGAATTCAAAGCTGGACATGACACTGCAGAGTTGTGGGATCGAAAACACTCCCCACTTCAGGAATCACCACTCTGACACAACCAGGAACTGGCCTGCAAAATGCCCCAAGGCCATGGCACAAGGCCCTCCCGCCTCTCCTCAACCACCATAAAAGCCAGCCCACAGCCTCTCTCCCTCACACACTTCTCCTCACGCCTTCTCCTCCTGATCCCGCCAAAACCAGGTAAGCCTCGACTCCTGATCCTCCTCATCCTGCACCCCTGGGCCCTCTCTGCCAGCACGCTCAGACCCAACTTCAGCAGCCCTCACATTTCCCAACACCCCCACTACAGCCTCCACACTCCTTCACTGCCCCTTGCTGCCCCATGCCCCTGCCCTGCCTCACCCCTCTCTCTCTTCCAGGCAGCCTCCACACCACACCCATGGCCTGCAACAGCCTCTGCCGATCCTCCGGACCCACCCCGCTGGCCAACAGCTGCAACCAGCCCTCGGTCCTGCAAAGCCAGGATTCCCGGGTTGTTATCCAGCCTCCCCCCGTCATGGTCACCCTGCCAGGACCCATCATGACCTCCTTCCCCCAGAGCACCGCCGTCGGATCCACCTCCTCCGCTGCTCTGGGCGCTGAGCTCAGTGCCCAGGGACAGCCCATCTCTGGTGGCTTTGGCTGCGGCCTGGCAGGCCTGGGCTGCTCTGGCACAAGGGGCTATGGCTCCATCTGCTAAGGGCCCTCAGCACAACCCCTCACACCACCAGCTCTGGCCTCTGGTAACAGCTGCTGCAACCAAAGCGCCTCGGCTGATGGTACAAGCCAGCACATCAGACCAGCTCTTCTCCATTTCTTCATCTTCCCTCATCCTTCTTCTGCCTCAATAAACTTCTACTGCATCAAAGCATTACACGCCTCCTCTCCTTTTTGAATTCTGCCTCACATGCACGCCCAACACAGTGCCATGCCTTCTTTTTTTTTTTGGAATTCCAGTGGTCTCACACCATCACCCAGGTGTTGGATGGCAAAGGGACACAACACCTTCCTGAACAAGTAGAACCCCACCTGTAATAACCAAGACTGGGTCAGGAATCAGGGTTTAAGGGTGACCATCCAGAACATGACAAAATCACATCTCCTGCCATACCAAAGGCTTTGACACAACACTGGTCTCCTGCTCATTGCTCTGGAAAAGTCTCTTCATGCCAGCATAGCCTTGACAAGATCTCCTTCCATCACAACTCTCACGCCACACAAACAATCACAATATCATCCATGCTCACAGAAACTCAGCAAGTGCTGCAAGGCCTTCCATCGCCTCTGCTCAAGGAAGGCTACCCACAGAAGCATTTCCACAACCATGGACACTTCAGCTTTTCATCTTCCTGCACACAGACACTCCTGCACCTCTTCTACTCTGGGACCATCCTCACAATAAAAGAGCCTTCTTTACACGGCCTATGCAATTCCATCTCTTTTCACTTGTGTTCTTTCTGACTTTTCCTTAGCATGTGCAGCACTGAGAACTGATGTCATCCCTCACTTTCATTCCCTGCCATCCAGCATTTACACACACTGCTAACAACCCCACATCCAGCCTTGCCCCCTGCAAGTCCTAGCACTCTCAGTCCTCTCGCAAATATCCTCCAGCCATTTCAATAGCTTGGCAGCCCTCAACTGGCCTTGGTTCACAAAAGCTCTGCACCTCCTCCCCTGGGCACCCCACAACTGCTCACATTCACTCCCATAATTTTCAACGATGTTCAACAGGCTAGGCCTCATGCATGCAACTCTTGAGTGTCGCCATTTCAAGTTTGACTCCAGCTTGACTTTGCATCACAAGGCTCCGGATCATCTGGTTTAAATATTCTATAAAGAGAGCAGTCCGCCTCACTGACCCTTTACACCACCTCTACATCCTTGCATAGTCTGTGATGATGCACTAGGAGACAGCGCCAAAGGCATTGCTAAGACCTGGAGGGAAACACCAGCCATGGCTGCCTCATCAACCACAGGAACATTCTTAGTTTCTATAGGCAACTCAGAGGACACTAAGACATGATTGTGCCCTCCAAAATCAACTCTAACTGCTCCTCATATCCTTGTATGACCTGCACTTGGAAACACTTTGCTGGGGAAAAAATTGTCCCATCCTTGTGTACAGGAACAAGGACCCTGGAAAGCCATGGGCAAGGCGGCAAGGAGTAAATGCCCTGAAAGGGGCAGCTCCTAATGCCCGGCACAGCCACAAAGCCCAGAGCAGCCTGACAGGGCTCTAAAGGAATGGGCTCCCTCTCTCAAATGCAGCCACATACCAAAATACACCTGGCCCATGGGTTGACATAATTGATGACACCTCCAAGGTGTCATCACTTCCTCAGGCTTTTGTGGTTTATTCTGCTTTCTCTGACACGCACCTTCCAGCAAAATCCTCCCAAATACCAAGCAAGTGCTGCAAGTCCTTCGATCCCCTCTGCTCAAGGAAGGCTACCCACAGAAGCATTTCCACAACCATGGACACTTCAGGTTCTCATCTCCTTGGACAGACAAACTCCTGCACCTCTTCCACTCTGTGACAATCCTCACACTAAAAAAGTCAAGCCTATTCTGCCCATGCAATTCCATCTCTTTTCACTTGTGCCATTGCTAACTTCTAACAACTCCACATCCAGCCTTATCTTCTGGAAGTCCCTGCTCTCTCAGTCATCTGTGAAAAAACCTCCAGCTCTTTAAATATGTGGGTAGCCCTAAACTGGTTTTGTTTAACTAAGCCTGTGGGCCTCCTCCCTTGGGGACCACAGAATTGCTCACACCGACTCATGTAATTTTGGAGGATGTCAAATACGGTTGGACTCATGGATACGAGTCCTGAGATACTTTATTCGAGCGTTAACTTCAGTTTCATTTTCGGTTACAAGGCCGCAGGTCATCTAGTTTAAATGTTAAATAAATAGAGCAGTCCACCTCACTGACCCTTGACACCACCTATACATTCTTGCACAGACTGCGATGATGCAGTAAGAGACAATATCAAAGACAGTGCTAAGAGGTAGAGGCAAACACCAGCCATGGCTGCCTCATCAACCACAGTACAATTTTTTATTTCTGTGTATAACAGAGAGATCAGTAAACATGATTTCACCCTCCAAAATCAACTCTAACTGCTCCTCATCTCCTTGTATGACCTGCACTGGGAAACGCTTTGCTGGGGAAAAAGATGTCCCATCCTTGTGTACAGGAACAAGGTCCCTGGAAAGCCATGAGCAAGGCAGGAGGGAGTAAATTCCCTGCAAGGGGCAGCTCCTCATGCCCGGCACAGCCACAAAGCCCAGAGCAGCCTGACAGGGCTCTAAAGGAATGGGCTCCTTCTCTCAAATGCAGCCACATACCAAAATACACCTGGCCCATGGGTTGACCACATTGATGACTCCCCAAGGTGTCATCACTTCCTCAGTCTTTTGTGGTTTATTCTGCTTTCTCTGACACGCACCTTCCAGCAAAATCCTCCCAGATACCAACTCTCACTTCAAAGCTGCTGCTAAGGTCACATGGATTCCAGCACAGGAGCAGGACATGGAATTGTAGAGTTGCAGCAAGGAAAGAAGGTCCCAGCTCTGGACTTGCCAGGCTTGCCTTGGAAAAACTGATGGTAGGATTTTCACTCATGGGAAAAGAGTGAGAGAAAAAAAAGGTCAACACTCTTGTTCTCAATATTGAATGTATCCAACCAGGTGCTCCAACTGCTCCCCACATGCCCTCTTCTATTCCTTCACCACTTTTCCTTTCTAGGTGACACTCAGAGCCCAGCTATGGGAACCCACAGGATCACCTAGCTGGGGCCAGCTCACATGACTGCTATGGTTGAAGAAAACACAAGACATTGCAGCACCTGAAAACACACCCCAGATCACAGGCATTGCTTTCCCATCTCCAGCATGAAAGCCGTGATATATACACAG